AGCCCAAAACCTGGTATTCATATAACCACATGTACCCAATGTACTCACATGTATTGGATGTAGTAACGATTAATGGGTTTTCTGATTAAAGGGTTGTGCGAGGATGCAAGCCTGACAACTTGATTTAATCACCAGAACCCAAATAAAGGGAAAAGAAAAAGTCAGTTCCACAGAGTTTCCACAGAGTTACCTTCAACCTCCACACAGACCATGACATGAATACCTACACACACATCATTTACAGTAATAATAGATATGAAAGTGTGAGAGATCTAGTGGTCACACAAAGTTAGAACATTAGTAATCACCTCCAATTACTAAAATGCATTCTATGAAGATGAGAGTTAATGTGTCCCTTTTTATTTAATTTATTTATCCATTATTTAGCTGCTCATTTCAGAGAAGCTTCTTCTTGCAGTAGATGGTAATGAACACAGAGGCCCACAAATGGACCACATGCAGAGAGAGAGAGTGACTTGGAGCACTCAGCCCTATTAGGATGTCTTTATCAAAGCCCTCCCTGCAAGGCTCAGGTTCTGTGTGAAAGGAGTGAGAAAGTTGTAAGATCTGAAGTAATGGATGACCAAGGACACAGAATCTTCCAGACACCACAGGCCTGATGCATGTATCAACTGACAGAGACCATGACAGCATGCACAAGACCTGCACAGTTTCAAACCAGACAAGATCCCAGCACAGAGAAGGGGGAGTGGGCACAAACCCCACTCCTAACCAAAAGCTCTCTGCAACTGATAGCTACTTAAGACCTCTCTCTTTTATTCTCTTCTTCCTTCCCTCCCTCTGTCTTCTACACCTGCATTTCCAGATAGACACGAGCCCTTCTGTCACTATCTACATGAAACCAACTACAAGCTTTTGCAATACACTGCCAAAAGCATGGGGCAGTTCCCCATTGGATATTTCTCCAAACAGCTAGACACAGTCATCAAAGCTGGCCATCCTGCCTCCAGATCCTAGCTGTGGTGGTACTGCTTGTCCTAAGAGACTAAATCTTACTTCACAGCCCCCTACACGTCCTCACTACACTCACTCACTCAAGGACCTTATCAGCCACCTCATTTTTCTAATACTCCCCTATCCAGGGCACAGCTTCTCTATGCTTGCTTGTTAAAACCCAACCTCATATTTGAGCCATGTGCACTCCTCACCCACACAACTCTACTTCCCAATAAAGGTGATAAAAAAACTTCTGGGTTCTCCCCCCCAATCTGTGTGTGTGTGTGTGTTCTATGTGGATCCCAGCATTGTCAACATATCTAGTAAGTACCACTATGCTTATTCTCATCCAGACTTTTCTATTTTTGTTTTAATGATCCACAAAGTCTCTTATGTCCATGATACCAGTCACTTTCCCTTTCCATTTGATATACTTAGTAAATAGCAAGTAAATTTTAATTTTTCCTTAATATTTCAATAAACTACACTTGCATATTGCTATAGAGGTGATGAGATTTCCTAATAATTAGCAGTGCATTTAAATAGCCCCAAATTAATCATTCTTCATATCTTGAAAGTAAATTTGAAGTCAAACCAGTTTGCCTGTATTAGTCAGGGTTCTCTAGAGTAACAGAACTTGTAGAATAAATCTCTCCATATAGATAGAGAAAGGGGTTTTGTTAGAATAACTTACAAACTGTGGTCCAGCTAATCCAATAGTGGCTGCCTATGTATGGAAGGTCCAGGAACTCATGTTGTTCATCCATGAGGTAGATGTCTCAGCTGGTCTTCAGTAGTTGCCAGAATCCTGAAGAAGTAGGCAGAGAGAGCAAGTGTCCTTCCACGTCCTTCTATGAGCTGCCAGTAGAAGGTGTGGTCTAGATCAGAGATGGTTCTTCCAACCTCAAAATCTGGATTAGAAGTAGGTTTGCCCACTTCAAATGATTTTTATTAAGAAAAAAAAATCCCTCACAGGTGTGCCAAGCCATTTTGGTTTTAGTTGATTACAGGTGTACTCAAGTTGACAGCCAAGAATAGCAACCACATTGCCCATGCCTATAATCCCAGAAATCAGGAGGCTGAAGCAGGACAATTGCCATAAGGTCAATGCTAGCCAGAACTACATAGGAGTTCCAAGCCAAGGCAACCTGAACTACAGTGTGAGATTCTGTCTGAAAAATTGAGAGAGAATAAAACCTTAAAACTTAGAGGCATAGAGTCTTGGCATAATTCAAGTAGCTCATATTAAAAGTGGGCTCTCTCAGTTTTTGAAGGTCAAGTGCATTCACTTGTAGTGTCAAAACATTCTCTGTTGTCTCAAATAGAGAAAGAAACTATTGTACTGAGTCCTCCAAAGACCATCAAGAGACCAAATCTGATGAAAAACCAAACTGTCTTTTTACTGTTGTGCGTTAATCCGGGTCTCTCCATCCATCTGACTCGGAAGAAGACACCACAGGTCACAAATGGGCAGGGTATTGATAGGGATAAAGCAAAGGGGCGGGGTTGGGGTCTACAGACTGCATAGGAACAGACTCAGGATTGGTTTATTCAAGTGGCAATCATGTTAGTATCTCTTAATTGGCTAGGGTTAGTTGGGGGTTGCAGTTATCCATTTTGGGAGAGGCTTGGACAGGTCCCAGGCTTTGTCCTTGAGCTGCTATGGAGACTCGCTGGCCTAGCACACACTGACTGTGGGGGCTGCTTCAGGGGCCCAGGCTTGGTGTGTCCGATCTCCCTGTCCCTGCTGGCAGGGCATCAGTGATTATCTTCTGTTCATGGCCCTCTGATAAATTGCTTGCTCAGTCTCAGGAAACTGAAATTGAGGCCTGATCTCTGAGAGAAGACTGAGCAGCCTGTTATGGCATCTGCTTGGTTCTTTCAAAACCTCTACCCAGTGCAGGGTTCTCTATTTCAAATATCAGACCACACTAGAAGATACCTTTTCTAAACTTGGATCTGTGAGGATAGGGAACTATGAGGCAAACCCTGATCATATATAACAGGGACACTTTTTGGGTTGTTTGTGGGGATGATGTGGCTTCACAGTGGGTAAGCACTGAACTACACTCTCATGTGCACTTTATTTGTGTAGAATCTCATGCAGCCCAGGCTGGCGTTGAACTAATTACAAGGACTTGAAATCCTGATCCTCCTGCTTCAGGCTCCCAAGTTCTAGGATGAGAGAATTCCACCACTGTGCCCAGCTTCAGGGTTACTTTTAAGGGTGTCCACAAACAAAGAAGATTAGGAATAACCTCCTAGCATTAAACCAAGCCTCCATCCCTGGAGGACGTGAGGTCCTCTTGAAAACACTATGAAGTATTCTGGATGACACTAGATGTTGCACCTTCTGGAAGGTAGGCATATTTGTTTCCCTTAGTTAGAAGCTGCAGTGGGAAGACACCAAGCAGAGCATCACCAGGTCACCTTAATAGCAGAAGTCCCCACATATCCCCTCTGCCTTCTAGTCAATGAAGAAAGGCAAATCTTCTAAGGTGTCTGGCAGGGAAGCAGGAGTGGCCACATTGCGCTGCACACATGCGAGTAATGTCATACAGGAGCTTATGCATGAGCCACTGGGACTGGATCCCTTTCCCTGAGGGAGAGAGGCAAAGCCTTGATGCCCCAACACCTGCACTGGAGAGTGCTGCCACCTCCAGGAGAGGGGGAGGGGAGGGCTGCTGGTCTTTTCAGCTCAGGGACCAGCCCAGCAGGAGTGGTCATTAGGCAGCATGGCTCTGGGCTGTGCAGGTCCTTGACAGGATTTGCACACCTGAAGAGCTAAGCATGTGTGGCCTGCACCTCAGCTCTCCTCAGGGACACTGGTGCCCTGCAGTCCTCTGAGGGTGTTGAAAACAACCCCAAGTTAGAGACCTTGGTCTCTAATCTAGCTCTTTCTAGGGCTAGAAGTAAATCTCTAAATTTCCACAAATATCTTCACCATCTTCAATTACCTGTACGATCTTGTCAAAGACAGTCCACTGCCCCTGTTCTGTTGGACTGGCAGCACACTCTGACTCCATTTTCACCTGGAAGTCTGATCTGGCCCAAGCAGGATGGGGATCTCTCAGCAGACTTCCTGTACAACCTGCCCCCCCCCCAACACACATTCCATCTCACGCTACATACACCTCGCTGAATCTCAACTCCCAAGCTATGATGTGGAGTCTCTGATGTCTGGACATTTGCCTCTAGAGAACTAAGACTTGTGTGATCTTTTCCCATGAAAAAATGTCATGGTGACTGATGGGTGGGTTCCCTTCATCCCTCAGAAGCTCTCATGAGCAGGTCAGTGACCCCTATAAGTGCTGCACACCCTGATTGCCTTCACTGGGGAGATGAGCACCTTAGCTGCCCCAGGTCACATATGTGGGACAACAGTTGGGAGTCATCAATGGAATTGTCGTGAGGAGAGCGACAGAAGCATGGTGAGTGGCACTTGGATTGTTTCCAGGCCACCTTCATAAACACGGGAGGAAATATAAATAAGACCTTGACATTGTTACTCATAGACTGTCCCAACATTGAAGAAAAGCCAAGGATTACTTCAAGAATATCTGCATGGTTTAAATATTGTCCATAGCATCCAACACCCCTGAAATCTATGGCCACTCCTCCCTTCACATTGTGTCTTTAATATGGGAAATGGTGTGTGCCTAGCCTTGTGCACATGGGAAGCAGGGACCTGGTGACATTGCAATTTGTCCTCATCGGACCCTGAAATAGTGCTGCTACTCAGCTACAGGAGCCTGAAACTAAAGCAGAAACCCTTTGAAGGACACCTGGTCAGCCTGACCTCTAAGCACATGGCCTAGCTCTTAGGACCCCAGCAAATGGCAGCCAGCCACAACTATCTGTAGTTCTAGCACCTCTCTCAGGCATTCACCTGGTCTCTGTCAAGGCAGTGGCTTTGCCTCCCTTTCTCCAGGATGGTCTGTCTCTATGTAGCCCCTCACGGAACCAGTGTGGTCTGCTTAGGGAAACTGCTAGGCCCTGTACAAGCATGCTGAGGGGACATCACAACCACAACTTAGACAATGAAAAACCAACGAACAATTTATTAAAACCAATACTTAAACTAATACAATATCGAAAATAACTAGAACAATAAAAACAGTTACTCGGGATGGGGAGGCTGGCTGTGGGGCTGAGAAGGCTGGGGGTTCAAATCCAGGAGGGATTCTGTGGGGAACACAGAACTGGTGCTGTCTGCAGAGCAGGTGCTGATGGTTCAGCAGAAGGGAAACGGGTGGCAGGGCCGTTCCCTGGGGAGGTAGATGCACTGCAGCAAAGTCAGATGTGCAAAAGCTGCAGCATCTGCTGACATGCTGACACTCGGTATCCACAGCTACTAGCCCGCGTGGTGACCCAACTGCTGCTGCCACATCTCACGGGTGTCACAGAAACTTCTGCTGGGTGTTGTGGTCTCCAGTTCTGATGTAGCTGTCTTCGTTGTTGGTTAACAGACCTCAAGCTCCAGATCTGTGCATGTTCAGCTCCCCAGATCTAAGGATGTGCTGCTGATGCAGGCATCTCTAGAAGGGGAAGAGGCAGTGGAGTGCAGGAGGAGACAACATGCTCAGGATGAGACCTCCTTCTCAGCCTTTCCAAATACAGAAGAGGCCATGTTGGCCTGGAATCCCAGACCGTATTCTATAAAAGGACATGTGCCCAGGCTAGAGTCCAGTAACAGCTCCTGCAAAGAGGAGCCTCTCAAGGATCCCCCCAGCTCTCCAGGTACTGAACCTCCTGACAGGGTGTCAAGCGCCTACCTGAGGCTTCCTCAGTGCTGGCCTCTGAGTTACTGGCCACTTCTGTCTGCAGCTGGGTCAGGAGTTCATTGACATGCATGAGAACATCTGAATGGGGAATGTTGACAATCAAGTAGTTCTTCACTTGTTTCAGAATGGACAGGACTGATGCCTGGCAAAAATCCTCAGGGAACTTCTCAATCCGTATATCCAGGAAGGTGGAGATGGTGCTGGGTTAGGAGACAGACAGCACAGTCAGTGGCCTGGACTCTCCTTTGCCGCCCCTCTCAAGGCTCCCGTGCACGTGAGACTGCAAGGAAGAAGATCTCCAGCCCTTATGCAAATGAGCACAGTGAGCAGGGCTGTGAGGTCCTTGTGAGCAGGAAGCTCCACACACCCCTTTCTCAGGCTGTAACTGAGCACAGCTGACCAGGCCTGGATGACATGGGTTAAGATCAGGGTAGAGTCTCACTGGGGCACCAGAGGTCACAGGATCCTCCATATTCCCACTAGCAAGGACCCTGCCCATGCAATTCTTCTCACTCTCCAGGAAATACTCTGACATCAGTATGGTAGAAAGCAGGAGTGTGAGACCCAAGCATCGGTTATCCCTGACCCTTAGAACCCAAATGACCCGACTCTGGAGAGCCAAGGCCTTTCTCTTGCTGCAAAGCCCACTTACTCCATAACTTCTTCATCCTCTTCACAATCAGGGTAGAAGTATGCATACCTGGAGGAGACCAGGAAGGACGTCACCTGTAGAGTCCCAGGTCCCCATCCAAAAGACCTCTAGGGGGACACTGATACCTGGAGAGGAATCCAAGTCCATCGCCTAGAAGTCCTGTCTGCCCTCAGAATTATGAATTCACCCTCATACAGTAAGTAGGTGCTTCAAATATGTTTGTACAGTGGGTGATCACAAACATCTCTATCCAGACATCCCAGTGCACACGAGGTCCCTTGGATTACCCTCCAGGGGTAATGTCTCCACTCTGGACACATCTCTATTCTATACTCCAATAGGATAGAGAGCTTCTTAAAGGTGCAGAGAACACCCACACTCATTAGAGTCTCAGCTCTGGACACACCAGTCCCTAAGGCTGAGCCTTGAGGAAGCATTTTCTGGCTTCATGCTGTTGGGTCCTGACAATACTCTAGAAAATAAGGTGGTTCAGAGGAAGGCAGAGAGCTTCCCCTAACCAGGAGAGGATCTGAGGCCTCTGAGCTTGGAGGTGGGCACTCACTGCTTGAACAGCAGGCCGGCACCTGCTGCATGGTGACAAACCTTTGATGTATGCAAATGAACGTGAGAACAACCGAGAGGTCCCCAATCTGCAGGGAAATCACCAGGTGAATCACAACCTCTTCCAAAGTACTGAAGCAGGCCTTTCTACAGGACTCCTTCAGGTCCTTTGGGGCAGACACCTTTGCAACCTGAGGAGAGATCAAGGTGGATGGTTCCAACAGGCACAGGACTACAACGTTCTGATTGGCTATTATCATTCCAAGTTTTCCTGAATCTCTACACTGCCAAACTCCCAAAGTGAAATTTGGGGAAACTCTGGGATTTCAGAGTGATTACCTGGTTTGTGTGATCCTGGCCCTGGCTGCCCTGGTTTGAGTTTGTGTCTCTCCGGCCAAATGGCCAGAGGCGTTGGAACCAGGAGTGAACCCGGGATCTCCGGGTACCACCATGGCCTCCACCATGGCCTCCTCTTTTCTCTTTCTTAGGTTCTGAGCCTCGAGTCATTCCAAGACAACAAGAAAACATCCTGCTCTGACTAGAGTATCAGGACAAATGAGCCTGCTAGGCTGTCTCTAAGCAGCTGGCTGCCTGGTTGCAGGGTTCTGCATTGTTGGGTCATTGTTAAGGAAGTGAGGTCACTCCTGGTGACTTCTGTTTGAGTTCCCTCTGCCACGGACTGGCCCATCAGGGGTACCATGAGTGTAGAAGAATCAGGGATTGGGTAGTCATGAAGGCAAGGAATCGGCGAATGACAGACAGACAACACACTCAGAAGTGGTTTGAATCTGCTGCAATTTTACTTCTGCAAATCTATATACAGAAAAGAAAACTATCAAGTCATACAAAGAACAACAAGAGCTTGGCAATAATTCAATTACATCATCTTTAAAAAAACAGCAAGCACACTATTATTAATCGGCACTAGACATATCCCTTCACCCACAAGAACTTTATGACCCAAAGAGCAGTCTGTGATTTCTAAACTTAACACAGTTCCTAGACTTGTGTTGACCTCTTGCGGTTGCAGCTGTGTCCTTTATCTTATCTCAGCGGTTTTTTAGTTTATTATACTCTTCTACTTTTCTGGTTCTCATGACCCACTTAGCCAATGTGGATGCTGCAGACCCTCTCTAAGTCTTTCTTCAGTTCTTCACCACATATCTCTTCTAATATAAAACCTTTTTATCTGCTGGAATATGGACTCTTGTACTTTTACACCTGTAAGGGGAAGGGGTTCTGCTGTAGTCCTTAAGTTTCCCATGCTGAACTTCCTCAACAGAGGGGCCCAGCATCTGTCTCCTATGAGATAACATCTTCTGCCATAAATCACTTTAGTTGGGATTCCTAAAGGATTCCTAGTGGGTGAGTGTTCATTCCCTAGAAGTGCCTGAACTATTATACTTTCTATCTAGTGGCTTGGGGTCTTCAAAAAATAGCTCATTCTGCTTTATTTAAAAGATCCATGTCCAGCTTCTCCTTTCCTCCATAGTTCACAACCCAAGCATTCATTAATTTTGTCTGTGCTTCATAGATTAATTAGAACATTATCAGAAAAGCAGTTATACAGAACCCATAGCCCAGGGAGCTCATGATCTGTGAAGCACATCTCCTTCAAGAAGGAAGTATAGTGCGGGCACTCTGCCAGGGACCTCCAGGGAGCTTAGTCCCATGGGACAGGTATCTCCCGTCCGGTATTATTGACATAATTGATCATGTCACACGGACGACACTGGAGTTGGTGTGGCACCCCTCCTCACACAGGACCATCCCAAAAGTCTCCTAGGTCTCCTCCCACCTTCTGGGTGCCCTACCTGACACAGTTAAACAGGCACTTCCCACCCCACTGCTCCCAGGGATGTCTGGGTACAGGAAGCACCTCAGCTCTGCCATCTGAGTCCCTGCTGTTGACCTGCATCTGTTATGCTAATCCTAAACAACCCTAATTGCCCTGGACCACCACAAACCCTAGACATGTCTCTCTTCTAGACTACTTTGTGTGAAATATGAGCACAAATCATCTGGATGTGTCAGTACTCCACAAACAACTAGAGAGTGGGGCTTTTTTTCTTTTCAATTTTTAATTTTTTTTTTTTGAGACCGGTTTCCTCTGTGTAGAGCTGATGAGAGTGAAAGAAAGCATATTGGCGCTGGGTTGGTCAGCGGAAGAATCACGAGCCATGGTTACCAGAGTTAGAATGGGCTTTATTAGAGAGAAGAGGGAACAGGATGGGAGAAGCCAGGTAAAAAAGAGTTTTCCAGCTAAGTTAGGAGCTTTCCTTTCATTACTCCCTTCCATGTGTCTCACTCCAGACCTACCCGCCTGTGCTTACGGGGCCCTGATCTCTGCCTTGTCCCTAATTCCAAAGGAATAAGTTCTCATGCACCACAAGCTTTTCTCTTCCCAGTTCCCTGCTCACTGTTTTGCTAATGGTACAGGACCACCATAGAACCAGAGTCCAGAGATCATCAAGTAAGAAACTGTAACAGCTAAAATGTATTTATACCCCCAGACCCCAAAGTGTCTTGGCTCTATAAAAACAGACTTTAATCTGGGCTCTGCAAAAACAAATTTTAACCATCTATTACTATGAAATGCTTTTAACAATTGGTCACCTGTCTCATGGATGCTAAACTAGTAAAGGAAACAGGTGCCTTAAAATAATCTGTTTCTGATAAAGCTTAACATGTTCCAATCTCTCTGTCTCTCCCATTAACACTAACCAATACAAGCAGAGCACTAAACACCACATATGGTCACTAATTTTCTCATGGCTGCTTCTTAATATGTTCAAATTTTTCCCAAGCTCCAGAAACCATCTTAAGTCCATCTGGACAGGTCGGACCTACTTTAGGCTTTTCCCGTTTCACCAGCATCCTGTCAGATACCAAAGCTGCCAGAGTGCAGGAGGGATGCACGGCTCTAGAGCAACAGACAACAGAGAACACACCATCCCAAGATGCCTCTCTACCTCAGAAACTCCCTTCCCTACTCCCCCCAAGAGCCAACCGACGCCCTTCAAGTCAGTTGGAAGCAGTTTTTGGGAGAAATGACTCCCCATACCCACTCATCTGCCATCTTTTATAAAAGATAAGAGTCCGGGATGATAGGAATTCCAACCATGCCCCACGGTCATGCGTGCATAGTGGAACACTTTCTCATCTCCGCTTAGTCACTTCCGGGTCATAGTCCTGCATGACCCGTGCCCCATGGTTACACAGTCACGTAGTCTCACAGCCGTGACTGGGTGATCTCTGCACATGGGCCTGTGTGTGCAGATGTGTCCTGGCCTTTATAAGGTGGCACCATGTTCCCCAGTCTCTCCCTCTCCCTCTCCCTCTCCCTCTCTCTCTGTGCCTCTCTTTCTCCTCTCTGCCAGACCTGGCTTCTCCCATCCTATTCCCTCTTCTCTCTAATAAAGCCCATTCTAACTCTGGTAACCATGGCTCGTGACCAAACCAGTGCTGATATCCTTTCAGAGAAAAGATGAATAGCTAGGCAGGAGAGAGAAAAAGATTTTCAGAGAGAATTTTTTTTTCAAGATGAAGTAAAAGAGAAAGTTGTCACCAGAAAGCATGGGTTTCCTTATTTACTCCTCGGATAGAAAAAGTTCAGCCCTGGCTGCATTTCTGGATTTTTTTTTATTTTTATTTTTTATTTATTTATTTTTTTTTTTTGCATATCCTGGTGCTGTCTGGAGGATGGCCCTCCAGTTAGCAGTACTGAATGTCTTCTCTTTTACTTTGCTGTTCTACTTCACATGCAGCTTTACACGACTCCTCACTCTGCAATGGCTCCAGAGCAATTGAAATTATATTACAGAAACATGAAATTTTTAATGGTATGAGCTCTTCTCTTTGGTGAGCTCTCCTCAAAGCTCTCAACACTTGTTTCCATACCATTCCATGCCATCAATTTTAATTGAACCTGAGCAGTTGCCTGAACCCAATGGCGATGCCGTTTAATTAATACCTCTGTAGTTAAAAGCTCTGCAAGCTGTTTTCCTTCACTTTCACTCCATGTCCTTTTTTTTTTTTTTTTTTTTTTTTTTTTTTTTTTTTTTTTTTTTTTGGTTTTTCGAGACAGGGTTTCTCTGTGTAGCTTTGCGCCTTTCCTGGAACTCACTTGGTAGTCCAGGCTGGCCTCGAACTCACAGAGATCCGCCTGCCTCTGCCTCCCGAGTGCTGGGATTAAAGGCGTGTGCCACCACCGCCCGGCTTACTCCATGTCCTTTTAACAGGCATTTTAATAACTACATATACTGTTTCTCCTCAGATGGAAGTTTCCCATGACCCTGCCAATCCTGGAGTCCTCTCACTCTGAGTGCAAATTTCCTCCAGTCCTTCAAAGTGTCCGGAATTGCTGTTCTTCAAGCCTTGTGTGGGTGCCAAATGTTGTTGTATGGGTGAATACTGGTGAGGTTACTGAGGTCATGGCAAGGTTCTTCTGTGATGATCCTGGTACAGAAGCTTGCTGAAAGAATATTAAAAGAGGACACAATGAATGGTTGGACTGGTTATTGCCGTTATTATCAGAATTGTTGCACTGACCGCTACAGCGGCAACAGCGGGAATGGTGCTTCATCAAGAAGACACTGCTGAGTTTGGCAGGGACTGGCATGGCCACCCTAAAGACCTTTGGACTGAACAAAAAAAGATAAATAGTGAGATGGTTAGTGAGTTAGCTGATTTAAGACAAACTATTGTATTGTTAAGAAATCTGTTAGAAATATTAAAGGAGCAGATGAAATTAAGATGTGATTGGAATGTTTCATCTTATTGTATTACACCTTTAAAGTTTAATGAAAGCAAGTAGGATTGGGAAAAGGCTTAGATGGATTTGATGGGTCACCCTAATACTTCTCAAGTGATTTATGGCTTATTTACAGCAAGAATTAAGGAAACTTTTACAAAAACGTCACCTGACATGACAGGAGCAGATGTTATGGAAAACCTTGCAGATATGATAGCTTCATTTAACCCTTAGATTATGTTAATAGATTTCTTATTTTAACCTGGGTTACTCTTGTGCTAACAATAGTAAACTTATTAGCTTTAAAATGTGTTTTGGCTTACCTACATAAGAGTGTAAAACAGAAAGATAGTGGAAAAGCTGTGTATGTTGTGAGGCTACATAACCTCCAAAATAATTAGTTGTTGTATAAAAGAACGATGGGCTGTGGGAGAATTCCCCCAGGTTATACCTAATCTGGCTCTAGTGTGGGAGCAGCTAGCCTTTATCCACCTTTTGTCTCTCGGTTACCTGCTGTTTCTCATATGTCCTCTATGTGATCTTGTCTGAGTTTCCCAAGGGCATACGCAAAACTTGAATGGGAAAAATCCAGCAATCTGTGATATTCCTTAATTGAGTATTTACATTTGGCATTGTCCCTTTGGAGACTCAGTCAGGCTGTTTTGAGGATATGTAAATCAACTTGCTAAAAGTGTAAATTTGGAGAACAATAAAATGCCCTTGGCTAAGGGAAGGTGTCTCAGTCCCTGGAGAGGCTGATTCCCCCTGCTTCTGGAAAGGCTAAGACAGCCTAAAAGTATGCTGAGTCTTCTTTCCATGGATGGGTTGAACCCACACCCATACAACAACACTAAAAATCAAAATTTAAAATGTACAATTCTGCCTCACATTGTATTTTACTGGAACTTGCTGTTTTAGGAGGAAGCTTGTAGATCAATATTTAAATGCCATATTCTGCAGATCTCTGAAGTATGAGGGCTTTCCAGGTATATCTGAATAGACAAACTTTGTTTCTTGTAGTGGGTAGCCATTCCAGCTTGGATCTGGAAGTTCCAACCCCCATTGAGACTCTGGCAACTCTCACAACTATGAGGCAGGGCCAGGGGAGGCACATGGAGACCGGAGATCTGGATGGGTGAGCGCTCTCTTGGTTCCGGGAGGTGGACTTAGCAGAGCTCCAGAGAACACCACTGGACTGCGATACACCTTCCCCAGACCCCGTGACCTACCTATCCCTTAATTTGTAAGTTACCCACTAAATAAATCTTTCTTTTAACTACATGGAGTGGCCTTAATAATTTCACCAATATCTGGTGCTCACGTGGGGCAAATTCCAAAGGCCTGGAATGGGCCTCTCCTCTCCTCCCTGGCTGGCGGGTACCTAAACCCACCTGCAAAGTTCCATATAACCAGGGAACGCCTACACGGTTCCATTCCCGAAAAAGGGAACAGCTAGTCCGGTCTCAGTTCCCTAGCTTAGCCCCATACAGCTCCGGTTTCTGCCATCTTGACTCCAGCCAAGATCACCAGCAAGCCCTGCTTTGGAGCTGTACCAACGCCACCTGCTGGATGAAAAGTGCTACTACATGCCCCAAAACCACAAAAGGTAAGCATATTGTTTCAAGTAAAGGTACTTGATAATTTTACACCTTAAAATTGACTAACAAATTTTGAGTAATTCTTATAATATGGCCGACAACATTACCTCACAAGAATTTAAAAACCTTTTTGCCTGTATGATGAATGACATTCCTAAGGCATATCTGGCCTGTACCATTTTGGCATTCATCGTAATAATTCACACAGTGTTTAAACACTGGTTTAAGTTATTGGGACTGATACAGGCTTTAAAAGATAGCAATGAAGGCTTACAGAGAAAGATACTTTCTCTGGAATCTGCTTTAAAAGATAACAATTAAGGCTTACAGAAAAAGATTCTTTCTCTGGAATCTGCTGATCAGGATTTACAAAAAAAGGCTTGTACCGAAAATTGATCTTATTGATAATAAATATGAATATTTAATGGACAGAACACTAACTCTCCAGACACTATATAAAGAAGAAAGATTATCATTAATTGATAAGATAAGGTCCATGGAATCATGTGTTTCTGAGGAACATAAAAACTTCTATGATTTCATGAGAAATCTGGAGTCCCTTGCCAGAGAGGAGGTTCACTCCCTAGAACAGACCCTAGGTGCTCACTTGCAAGCCCTAGAAGAAACTCTCAGTAAATATGACAAGGGACCTAATAAGCAGAAGGGCAAGACCATAGAGGCTGTAACATCTCCAAATGGCTCCCATAAAATGGCTTATCCTGTTATCATCCATGAGAAGCCAGCAGATGACACACACCCCAAGCCATATAATACATATACATTACAACCAATTTCAACAAGGGACTTTAAAAATATAAAGGAAGCAGTAGTTACATATGGGATACACTCCACATATGTAAGACAGATGTTAAATTCGTGGTCTACCTCACATAGAATCATTGCAGATGACTGGCATCAGTTAATTTCAGCTGTTCTAGAATATAGCCGGCAGTTACAGTGGAAAAGCTGGTTGAGAAAAGAGGGAAAAATTTAGAACAAGGTAAAATCAGAGGTTTTGTGATCTCCCAAGATCAAATACTTGGTGAGGGATGTTTCACTGACAGGAATGTACAAGCCACTTATGATGAGCATACAATATCCCTATGCCATATAGCAGCTCTAAATGCTTGGGGAAAAATTCCAGAACCTGGAAAACCAACTGAGATATACACAAAGATATTTCAGGGACTGCATGAATGCTTCACTGATTTTTTACAAAGACTGATCACAGCTATAACAAGAGCTGTGTCAGATAAAGAATTAAGAAAAGTATTAACTGAGTCCTTGGCTTCGACAATGCTAATGCAGAATGCAGAAGAATACTTACACCATTAAAGATCAGATCAGCTCCTTTGGAAGAATGGATTCAATATACTAATGGTGTTCAGTCTCTTAACTACAGTAATGAGGCTTGGATTGGAGAGACAAATCCCAGAGGTGAAAGAAGGCCCCGTAGTACCAAATGTTTTAAGTGTGGTACACCAGGTCGTATAAGTAAAAACTGTACATGGGGTACTCCTAGAAGTAATACTCCTTCTAGGAATAGCCTAAACAGGAGACCCCAACCACCTCCTGGATTATGTAGAAGATGTGGCAAAGGCCGACATTGGACCAGTGATTGCAGATCAAAAATAGATATACAAGGCAACAATTTACTAGCAGGAAACACCTTCGGAGTCCTCTTGCAGGCCCCCAAATCAAACATAGTATGAACATTCCCAGCCACTGTGGAAGAAATTCCTCTCCAGGACAACTGAATAAACCAATGCCTAAAGTAAAAAACCAATACTGCAATGGATGATAAAACAGCTCTGATAGATGAATCACAGTTTACAAAGAACACAATAAAACAAATGTTTTGGCAGACTTCCATGAATGAACAAAGACCAAAGCTTAGAATTCGAATTAATGGCCTGGTTCTGGAGGGCCTGGTCGACACGGGTGCGGATGTGACTATAATTACACCAAAATCATGGCATCCGAATTGGCCTCTTCTAGAGGTAGATGTCCAACTTTTAGGGATTGGCACCCTATCTCAGATAAAACAGAGTTTGAGATGGGTTGAATGCATAGGGCCAGAAGGACAGAGAGGAAGGCTGAAGCCATATGTAGCAAATGTAGCAGTAAATCTTTGGGGATGAGATCTGTTACAACAGTGGAATAACCAGATTAAAATTCCTACACTTTCAGAAAAGGAATACAGACCAATGCATGTTTCTAGGAATAATATCATGACATGCTATAAAAAAATCAGTCACCAACCATTCGGGCTATTCACAAACAGAGCACGACTGTTGTTGAACTCTCAGAAGTACCAACTGCCTTACCTTTAAAATGGCTAACTAATAAACCTGTCTGGGTTGGACAATGGCCTTTGACAAAAGAGAAGCTACAAGCTTTAGAACAGCTGGTTAGAGAGCAGTTAAATGCTCAACACATTGAAGAATCTACCAGCCCTTGGAATTCTCCTGTATTTGTTATTTAAAAAAAGTCTGGTAATTGGAGAATGCTGACAGATCTGAGAGCTATTAATAAAGTAATTCAGCCTATGGGCTCCCTACAGACTGGGGTGCCCTTGCCCTCTCTGCTACCCAAAGAATGGCCTATAGTAGTTATTGACTTAAAAGACTGTTTCTTTACCATACCCTTACAAGAAAATGATAGAGAAAAATTTGCCTTCACAGTACCTAATTATAATAATTCTCAGCCAGTCAAGAGATATCAATGGAAGGTCCTCCAACAGGGAATGTTAAACAGCCCTACTTTGTGTCAATACTTTGTGCAGAAACCATTGGAGATAATTCATGTATAGTTTCCACAACCCATAATTTATCACTATACGGATGATATCCTATTAG